AAATTAATTATTTAATTAATTATAAAAAGTACATCAATTTTTATTGATACTTTCAGTATAATTTAAGAAATGTTCTCACTTTAAGAGTATTTAAAAACATTACTTTTTCCTGGAAAAGACTCCATTGACAAATTAATTTGGCATTTAAAATATATTTTACTATTAAAATTTTGTTTCTTAAATTAATTATAAAATATTTTTACTTGAAAAATAAATCAAAATTCTTTTTATTAAAAAAAATTCCCAAAATCCACCCAACACCCTTTGTAAAATTTTAGAAAACTTTCCTTATGTAAAAATTGTCAAAGAAATTATCACTTGTATTTTCTTTTAATTCCATCATTACTTAAAAAATATAAATTAGTTATTTAATTAATTATAAAAAGTACATCAATTTTTATTGATACTTTCAGTATAATTTAAGAAATATTCTCACTTTAAGAGTATTTAAAAACATTACTTTTTCCTGGAAAAGACTCCATTGACAAATTAGTTTGGCATTTAAAATATATTTTACTATTAAAATTTTGTTTCTTAAATTAATTATAAAATACTTTTACTTGAAAAATAAATCAAAATTATTTTTATTAAAAAAAATTCCCAAAATCCACCCAACACCCTTTGTAAAATTTTAGAAAACTTTCCTTATGTAAAAATTGTCAAAGAAATTATCACTTGCATTTTCTTTTAATTCCATCATTACTTAAAAAATATAAATTAATTATTTAATTAATTATAAAAAGTACATCAATTTTTTTATTGATAAATTTTTAAAATTCTTTTAATACTTTTGGCAAGATTTGAAAAAAAATCCTAACCTAAGAATTATCAATAAAATCATCTTTGTGATTTTATTTTAATTCCACCATTAGAAAATTTTTATTTACTTTTAATTTTTTATAAATTATTTCACTTAAAAAAGAAAATAAAATTTTTATCAGAAATTTTCTAAGACCATACCCAAAACCCTTTTGATAAGATTTGAAAAAAACTTCTAGAATTTTCAATAAAATTACCAATTAAGATTTATTTTAATTCCATCATTAAAAAATTTTATTTACTTCTAAATTTTTTTGTTTATTAATTTTTAAATTTGCTATTAAAACTTAAGTAAAATTATTTTATAAAATATTTTCTAAAATCGTGTCAACACTTTTGATAAGATTTTGAGAAAATTCATTTCTTTAGAATTATTAAGAAAATCACAAAGTGTGATTTTCTTTTAATTCCATAATTAAAAATTTTACTTACTTTACAAAAACATTAATTATATAACAATGACAATAATTGTAAAAAATAATTTATGATTTTTTATAATCCCACATATTTTATTTTTGTGTTATCAAATGATCCAAATTTATAAATTTAAATATGCAAAAAAAAAAATGAATACGATCAAATTAAATTAAATTAAAAAAATAAAATAAAAAATGAGCAAATGGGTGAGGTGGGGTGGGCGAGTTTGGACAAATACGTGAACCCCCCTCCTTTTTTAATTGATATCAATATATTTTCTTTTAATTCATTGTTACTCTTTTTTTCTCCCTTAACATTCTCTCAAGCTCTGTCCTCTCTCACCATCTTTAAATTTACAACCAGCACATTTAAACTCAGATTTCGACGACGGTTGGCACATTTGCCGCCGATTGTCGATATCAAAAAAATTCCCCAAAATTTCTTGTTTCCTCCTCTTGCCTTCTATCTTGATGGATTTTTCAAAATCTAAGTCTACTTCTTAAATCTAACTTTAAAGCTGCGGCATAAAATTTCAAAAACAACTTTTTTCGTCGATCCAAACACCCCCAAATTTAAGTATGTTCAGCTCCTCCTCAAGGTTTTCCTCTCCCCTGAAAACGAAGTCCAGAAACTTTCCGTCTATTATTTGTGATTTTTTTCGACTATGTATTTTCTGGATTGCAGTTACTATTTTTTTTTTTTGATTGATTGATTGTTTTGTTTCGAGTTGGAATTTCTGTTAGAAATTGATTTCACCCATTATCTTTGTCTCTGTCTTCATTTTTTTTATTTCTCAAACTTTGCCCCATCGGAATGAAGAATTGAGTTTCTTATCGAGATTCAAGTCAAATTGACATCTTTATTTTATCTAAAATAAAGATTTAATTAAAAGAAATAATAACGAATAAAAACTCACGAAAATTTTAAGAAGCTTTTTCAAATATTTTATCGTTTCTCTTTTAAAGAAATTTCAACTAAATTTTTTATTGAGTAAATAGCAAAAATTGTCCTATTGTTAAAAAAAAATTGTAAGAATGTTTTAATCTTTCAATGAAATATCATATTGGTCTCTTGTGATTGGAACGAATTTTATTTCTATCGATTTCATTTAGTGGTGGGTTTGATTTTAAAGTCGCCACTCAGTTTATGTTTAAAACCGAGAACTGGTTATAGCACTAAGGCCATTAGTTTTGTCTTCATCAGAAAATATGATTCTAAAATTAGGATATGAAATTATCAGGAATCAAAGGTCGTAACTTCGCTTCGGATAACCAAACCTCTACTATTCCATTATAGATACAACACCGTCGAGCTTTCCAACTAAAGAGTAATCTCACTACTTACTTAATGCAAGCATATAATTATAAATGTCACATGCTGTCATGCATGCATATAAAAAAGTATAAGTGAACTAACATCCTTAAGTGATTTTTTGATCATTATTAATGATATGATGAAGAAAATTTAAATAAAAAGCATAAAAATAAACAAATAAGCAAGATAAAGCATAAACAAAAGGATAGATTTGGTAAATTAAATTATTAGTTGCCTTTGTGGCATTATACATGCTTGAGTCAAACCCTAAACATGTTATTACTAAAATTATAATCAATTCAATCCAAATTGATATAGTAAGAAGCTCAAGTTGAAATTTACTATTTAAAAACTCAGTCCGAACTTAATCAGGTTTTAATCTTCAAATTCGAACTTGACTTTAGATAAAAATTAAATTATTAAAATTCATTTGATTAGAATTATATATCAAGAAAAAAAAAAAAGCTCGTTTTCATACTTAATTTCAAACTTAATCATTTATATTTGAATTTGAGCTCAAGCTCAAATTAATATATATATATATATATATAATGTTAAAATAGTAATTTTTATTAAAATATAAAAATTTGATTATATTCACGAACTGAATATTAAGATATTCAAACCAATTCACTCGATAAGTCGAACTACTCGAATTTAGCTCGACAATAATCAAATTAAATTCAAATTTTATTCGAATCGAATCTAAATGACTTATAAATACTAATATATCATTTACATATATAATATGCTTTAAAGAAAACAATTAACCAAAGTAAAAGAAAACCTAACATAAATTTCTACATGCTTTAATGCAAGTCTAGATTAGGGATCTACACGTTGATTTATTAGTTAATTTAAAGTAAATATCATGCATACTACCAAATGAATTATCATGAACAAGTTATCTCATATACTTGATTATGCAAGAGAAAAATTTAGGAATTACCAAATTTAACCTATCGTTAGACTCAATATATCCAACAATACTGTCAAATATAACATGTCAATTTTTAAACACTTATCACATTTTAATTGGAAAATGGTCTGGTTAGAGATTCTAACAATGTTACATCACTGAATGAACTAATATACGGATTGAAAATTGAGATAATTAAATATTTGTTTAGTTCAAATATTAAATTAAAATATTTTTCAATAGTTTAGGCTGTACAAGACATTATTATGTTTAATGTTTTGTGATATTTAATGAGTTACGACTTTACATTTTATTTTTATTTTTCTTTGTATTAACATTTCAATTGATAAAAGCTAAGTAATAACAGTATTATCAACCAAATAAAACTTATTATTTATTCATTATTTTTTAAAAATAATTCCCATTCTTTACAAAATAAACTGTTTTTTTTTCCTTGGGGCAAAGACAAAACATTCAAAATGAATTAAAGATTAATAAAATAAGACAAGTTTTTTATTTAACAAATAAGCAATATATAAGGATGTCAATTAATAGAATATGAGATGGGTAAAGTATTTTTCATTTTTATCTTTGAATTTTTATATTAAATTAATTTCTATATTCATACCCAATAAAAATATTTTAAATCTATTTTCATTCACGTTCTCGTAAATATTTATTGAGTACGGATAATTCATGTAGTTATAACTTTTAAAAAATAATAAAATTTTAATTTTAATTTTAATTTTTAATTTTACACATTTATATAAAATTTTTATAAATATATATTAAATATAAATATATTAGTTTTAATTAATCTAAAATAAAATTTTATATTATTTAATAAAAAATTATTTTTAATATATTAACATAAGTATAAGTAAACAATAAATACTATCTGATAAAAAATTTAAAATTATAATCACTCTCTTTTTCAAACTTAATGTCCATTCATATCCATATTAGAATAAAAAATCGGATTCCCATTTAAGACGGTAAGATTGACAATATGTGAGTGAAAAGCATTTTGGTTAAAATGATTAGAAAAAAAAAAAGAAAATTTTTTATTAAAGTTAGTAATAAAAACATGTTACATGATCAATCCTATAAAAACCAAATTTAACTAACAAAATCATAGCTTGTTATCTCTTCAAAAACTAATAATAAACAAAACATTAACTCAGCTAGCAAAAGTTGCCAGGTGTGAAGCATTAATCCAAAGTGATACTTCTAATATTATTAAAATAAGGTATAGATCTTAAAATTCATTTTCTGAAAATCATAGTCTGAAATTATATCATTTCACCTTCCCTCCTATACAAAGAAATAAAAAATGATATATTTTACCAGATTAAATTAATGGTTGGGTTTACGAAGCTTTGATGAAGCCCAAAACTTCACATCCAGGCCCAAATGTTTGAAAATTCAAACTTGTTTTTGTTTTTCGGAGTGTAGTACTGAATTTCCAGAAGCGACTAGTGAGGTTACCTATAAAAAACAACGCCAGAATTAGAGCTTGCTAGTGCGCGGGAGTGCTTTCTTTTTGAAATGAACGTTTCTTCGGTTCAGAAGCTTTGCATTCATGTAAGTTGCAAAATGCATTCTTCAAATTAAGCTTTCGACTTCGGTTTATCGATCTTTCATTGTTAATAATCCTCCGTTAAATCCACCCTAATTCCGAACTAATTTTGATTTTTTTAAATATCATTTAATTTTTGTATTTCGGCAGTTAATTTCTTCTGCATTTCAAAGATGCCGTTTATCCGAAGATCTTTGCAGATTATCAGTCGTTCTCAAGAGCTCTCCATCTACTCCTCCTGTCATTCGAGTTTCAAGTAAATGCTTCCTTTTCATTATTCGTATAATTTTTGCTCTGATTTTTGCCTCATGCTATTCTGCATTATTTTCTTTCTTCTTTTTTTTTTTGGAAGTAGATTTCACAAAAATATAAAAAAAATATTTCTGAATTTGAAAAAATGCGTTGAAATCATGCCATTTTGAAGTTAAAACGGTAGAGTTTTTGGCTGTTTTGGATTCAAATGACCTCATTAAAAGTAATTTAAATAAGATCTAAAAATAATAAGAATGTGCATACAACGTAAATCCATAAATGTAATGTTTTGGCAGAATTTTAGGTAAAAAGGATAAAGAAATTGTTTTTTTAAAAATCTATTTATTTTGTATTTCAATGAGCAGTATCAGATACGGGAATCGCTAGTTGCTTGGAGGAGTTTCAGGACCTGAAGTACAGTAGAGAAAGCATTGGAAACGAAAAGTGGGGTAAGTGGATGATGATGACATGCTCATTTGGCTCTAGATATAAAGATATGGATGCGCGAACACAATTTAGTTTGATGATTATTTGACTTCATTGTGGCGCAGATGGGTTGCTTTCTGTCAAAACTACTGGTAAGTTTCTCGTGTCTCAGGATTCTTTCTTGCTAGCGAAAAACACATGGTTGAATGGGTTAAATTTTTTATTTCTAATTTCTGTTCCCCTCTTTGTTTTATAGTTATGTTAGGGGAAGGGGAAATTAGAACTAGGGACCTGCTTTTTGGAGGACTAGTGTGGTTACCACTAGGCTAAGCCTTGGTCCATTCAATATGTTGACAACTGCTGTTGGTTCTTCTTGCTTTCTTTAATATGTGCTTGGGGTCTGAAATTTAAATCATTCATATGGATGAACAACTTATTTTCGTTCCTGAGTTGAAAAAAGAAGCTTTTTTTTTTTTTTTTTTCCATTTCCCCATTTATTCTGTCAGTTAGTGTATGTTATATGTCCCTATTCTTAGATTCTTCATTTGTTTTCAGCATCCTATTTATCTATATGTATCTAAAGAAATCAAACTGGTGTCTCTTGGTTGCAGGCATTAGTGATAATGAGATATATCATTATCGCATAAATATTAGGGAAAGTGTTTCAGCCAGAAGGCTCACTAGGCTGCCTTCAAATCCTAAGAATGGGGCGAAATTCAGGCATGCACCTTACTGAAACTTTTGTCTGGTTTGAGACTTTATAGAACTTAATGATTTTATTTCTTTATTTTCAGTGGTACTGAAGTATATCTGTCCATCTCTGATACCATTGATTCTTTGCTGGCAGAGATCAACCACTTCTTTCAAAAGGTCTATTTGCACTATTTGACTGACTTAATTTGTGAATCACAATATACAAATAGATTTTCTGGGCCACACCTATCTCCTTTTATCTCTGTACATTTGGTTTGGTTGTGGACTTTAGTGTAACTTCAGTGTAGGCAGAAATCCTCCAAAAAAGTATAGCTGATCCTATTATGAATTTAGAAATCTAAGACTTTATGTTTTTTTCACTGCTGTCTTTATCAATAAGCCTAATTACTTGAATCAGCTCAATAGAGAATGGATTAGACAATGAAGAACCGTAAAATTTGCAGATAAATCATGTCAAGCAACTAAGGTGATGTTAGAATGTCACGTTTATGACTTGCATATCATTTGCTAAGGAATCGTTTAAAGCAACCTCTCGGACAACACTTGAGGAATCTCTCATAAGCTGTTGGGGTCAAGAAATGGTTGTTGGCTTTCAACTCGCTAGTTGAACAAGGACATAGAGTTAATTCATCAGGTTCTTGTTTCAAAAAGGGACCATATTTGGGGAAGGTTCTATATCAGACTGTCAATCATCAATCTTCTATGGTGGACCTAGGAACTTTTCCACTGATGTGTCTTCTCATAATATCATGGATACTGCTGTGCAGTCTTTCTCTTTTTTTTTTTTTTTACTTGAATGGATTTCAATTTTTGCCACCTTCTTTTACCGAGTCCACATCTTTGCTTTTGCAGATACTCATTCTAAAGATCCCAGTAAGTTTGACTGCTACTTTGATGCCTTATAATCTGTCAACTGAATGGTATGGTGAGAATGTTGCATTTCAAGGAAACTTTTTTAAAAGTATCTGAAGAAAGTAACTTTTTTCAGAAGGTTTACTTTTTAATTCATTTTCAATTTTGGATGCTCAGAAACTTAGCTGGACAGGAGGGAAATGTTATAAAAAAACTAAAGCACCAATTTCTTGATAAATCTGTTGTTTTTGAGATACCACGGAACCATATGGCAATGATGCTAGGAATGAATTTCCTCCAGTTACTCTGTTATAAATGTGACCAAAAAGGGCCAATGTACAACTCTTGTCTTATAACTCTGTTCACATAATTAAACTTTAGTTTTGATTGATATAAAGCTTCTTGGGATTCATATATTTACAAAATGAAACTTAAATTTGTAATGCTAAATGGAGAAACTCAGACATCTGCTCTGCCATTATGAAAACTTCCTAATACTGCTAAGGAATTGAACAGAGTTGGGTTTTTGTCCAGAGTGTAGCTGCTGAACTGGTGATTGATAGAGGGGATGGTCCAGGATTGCGATGTGAAAATGTCTTTTTAACGAATGAATGCAGTCGTTTGCACTTTCCAACCTCAAATGTTGAAAAGCTAAAGTCAGGCCTTGAAGCATATGTTTTAAAGCATGGAAATAGCTTAAACAATAAATGTGACTCTTGCTTCTGCAGTAGGTAAATATAAGCTGAATACCCTGTTTTCTATTTTGAAGCTATACCATATCTGTTAATTGGGGTTCTGGCAAATAAATTTTGGTGGTGCTGTGATTAAACTATTGGTTTAAATTTACTTTAAAGTAATAGAGGTTATACTACTCACTACTGACTTCACAAATAAAATAGAATGGCTTGATGCAATCAAATAACTTGAGGTTTGCATATTTTTCTTTTCACCAAAAATTCAAGGTTATATTCACTACCTGTAAATGCTGTCAAACATTCGGTTCCAAACATCCAATTCTTCTTACAAATTTCAATGCCTTTAAGTTTTACCCTTTGAATCACTCGCCGATGGTAGTTGTGACTATTATTACCCATGGTATTAATTAGTAAAGTGGTGGTGCATTAGGGTGCCTGCCTCTCTCTTTTGTTGCACTATCTAATAGAGCAATATTTATGCCAAATGCTTCAAGAAGTAAAGATGAGGGACCTTCATTTGACTGAATTACAAATTTTGCGTGATATTCATACTTCCACTTAAATAATTCTTCTAATTGTTTTTAATCAATTTATATATGCTGTCATGAATTTATATTCATACTTGCATCTTGATCTATTTGACTGGAGTTTTGGAAGAACTTTGCTTAGTCATTTTAACATGACTACTTAAAAATTGAGAGAATAGTGTGAGTGAATTCTATTTGAGGTTGTTAGTTTTACTTGTATAATGTTCCTTATTTCTTAATTTTAAATGTGCTTGGATTTTTCAGTATAACTGTCTAATTTTTCATTTCAATGTAAATTTATTTTGGGAAATTTGTATGCAATATTGCTTAGTCATGTAGCTATAGTTCCTGGAGAAGTAAAGTAAGGCTACATGTCCTCAATCCCCTTAACAAGTATAACTTCCGTTTCCTACTAGGGAGCAACTTAAGATCGGTAGTGGAGTAGCATGCAGCATGGGAAGCCACAGGAGTTCTGGACTAACGATGGAAGCAGTAATTGTAATAAGTGAATTTTCTGAGTCTCCTTGCTGCAGGTCATGCAGCAATAAAACAGAGGTTTGTATCTGAAGTTGAACTTTGACTAGCACACCTAAAAAATTCAAAGGAAGTATCTATTGTTCTCTTCATTTGCATTAACTTATTTGTTCAATGTAATTAATTTTTTTCTCCAAATTTGTTATAGTTATGTTTATTTAATTGACAATATTTCTCTCCAGGTTCTGCATTTTAAAGACTTCTTACCATGTACAGTATCCCAACCATCCCTCAAGGCATTGACTAGCATCGACTGGAAAAGTTATGGGTTAACTTTGGGGAGTGTTGTGGATGAAGTTGACCATGCATTGGTGGAGTGGGAAAGTTTACCCCCTTATCTCCGTATTGATATGGTTCTGCACTACTATCATAAACAATATCCAATCCTATGTTAAATGGTTCAATTTCTTCTTCATATGTGACATTTAATTCAAGATGCTTTGTTTTTGCAGCATTTTTTTTTTTTTTTTATCTCTCAAAATGTTGCATGTTATATGTATTCCTTGACTTGTTACCAAGGTCATGATATTGCCAGGAAAGTATAAAACTCAACCTGATCGAAATCTTATTAGAAAGGCAGTCAAGCTTGCATTGGATGATTTGAAGCAGAAACACACAGGAATTCTTCTCAGTGCACAAGCTGTGAAGGTAAGCCTCTCCTTTCCGAAGTTTCAAACGCATGTGATCCTCTTGGTATAAAGCATTGCTAGAAAATATATGCTTACTTACATTTGTTAAAAATAGTTTAGTTGATTGAACAAAGGTAGCTCAATATTCCGATTAACTCGGCATTTGGCTCCAAAAACCCTTTGAGCTTTCTATTCCTAATGTAGAACACCTCATTTGGGATCCAAGTATATATTGTATTCAGTATGAAACTATTACCTATATAAAAGCTGTTAAAGTTTTTAGTGCTTATGCATCAGTAGGTCATTGCCCTTTGAGCATTCCGTCTGGGTTTTCCTTTTCTTCTCAGCTTTGATGGTAGGTTCTCTCCCTTTCTCTCGCCTCAAATGTCTGTCTCTTCTCATGCTTACTTTCTGTTTATAAATTAGGCATTAATTCAGGAGTAATCCCTCAAACTGCTTTTGTTATGCTTGTTTTTTAAGATTTTCCCCCCATGAGTCCATTTCGAGAGAAAAAGGAAAGCCAAATGGACTCTGCCTTGAATGGAAATTCTACTTTTTGAGATAAATTTTCTGTTAAAAAATCATCAACTTAATTACATGTGAGAAGAGGAACTCACAATGACTAGACTATCTGTATCTTCACAGTAAAATTTTTCTATTTTTTAGTTTTTCCTATTTTTTATTTCCTTACTCTGAGTAATGGTTATCTGGCATGGTATTCATGATTACTTTAAATTTTTGGAAAATTATATCATCAAGTGATTTTGTCACATATGTAACTCTTAGAAAAAAACTTCAGATTTGCAGATATGCGCCAGACCTTGCAAGCACAATTGCTGGCCTCATCTTGTCATCTAATGACTCGGAATTCCGAAGCGAATGTATGTCACTACTTGGATTATTTCAGTCTCAAGAGATCGGAGGGGAAACCATTGAAGATTGTATCAAGGAAAAGATAATCTCAGTCATAGAGACTAACGATAGGAAGCCCGAGAAAAGCAAAGAGGCTGCACCTTTTCTTTTTGAAGATGACTGTACGAAAGACCCATACTTTGAGGAATATGAAGAAGATGAGGATGTTTTTCGTTCCCCAGATTGATTGATTTCTTGTACTTTATCCTTACGCATTTAACCAATTCCTGAGACTTCCACTAATCCATGAGAATTCTGCATCTCTGTTAATTGTATATAAGGTGTCAATATAATAATATACGAATATTATTAAGAGAGATGCAGTTTGTATCTGAGGTATATGAAGAAGTTTACATTTTAGTCCCAACCATTGCCATGATTGCCGAGCGGTTAAATGGATAATGGATGTAGTCACCCTGTTTGGTTTGGGTCCAAATAAGTTAGGCTTGATTCAATAGAGATCAAACAGTTAAGTCTAATTATCTATTGTTTTGTGTTTTATGTTTTTTTTTATTTGTTATTTATTTATTTATTTATTTTCTTTGGGTTTTGTCCTTTTGTTATTTTATTTATTATTTGTTTATCTTTAATCTTTCATTTGATTTATCTTTGGTTTTTGATATTACTGATAATAAAAGAAAAGGAATCGAAAAATAAAAAATAATGAGGATTTCTGCTATGAATAGTTGCAGATGGATTCAATTTGTCTAAAATAAATTTTGCTTTTTGTGATAATATTGAAACTTCGTCAAAGATAGATTCATAGTCGATCAAGAATTCTTTTGCCTATACTTTGTAAATACACACATTGATCAAGTAGAATACATATAGCAACAGAACATAGATTAAAAACACAAAAAATCAGAGCAGAGATTAGAAAACAAAGAGAAAAAAAATAAAAAAACAGGCACGACGAGAAAGTACAAAAATTATGGAGGAATTTTTGAAAATTTTTTTTGGAAAATTTTTAGTTTTAGACAAATTTTTTGGCTTCGATTGAATTTTTTGATGATTTTTTCAGCATTTATTGAATTTTTTGACAAGCTTTTCAGAATTTGGTTGAAGATTTCGACGAAATTTGAATTTTTTTATGAATGTTCGACGAATCAACTTAGATTCTGATTACTTTTTTCAAAATCCGGTGAAGATTAACCGGAGTTTTTCTGGTTGTAGAGAGAGTGGGAGAGAAAAAGAAAGAAGAGAGAAAGGAGAGAAAGGATAAATTTGACGAAAAAGCCTAGAACTAGCCTTTTATATCATTCCAAAAATGACATCATTTTGGCGTTTAAAAGACTTCAAGATTTGTGCATTTTTATTTGGGCGATTCGACCTGAGCACAACCTGCTTTTACTGACTTGTGTTCCAGCTGATTCCTTCACCTGAGTTGAGACTTCGAGCCACATCCTAGGGGCTGAATTTTGTGCTTGAAGTCGAGCCGTGTCGAAGCCGCCAAGCCAAGCCATTCCTTTTTTGATATTTTTTAAATTTATTTTTAAAGTATTCTTTTCATGATTAAATTTTAGGAAAAATGAAACATAAAAAATATATAAAACAAAATAAAATATTTGAGAATAAATAATAATTATCCAATGATGAAATTTTTAGAAATTTCAAATAGTAAATTTTTATAAAATTTTTAGGTAAAAAATTTTGTTTAAATTTGTCCCAAATGATATAATAATTTAGATAAAATTTTAATAACAATAATTAATACTTATTTTCAAACAAAAAAAGAAAAATAAAAGATAAAAATATTAATAAAAATTTTAAAAAATACTAATTATCCAATAATGAGATTCTTATAAATTTTAAATGGTAAATTTTTAAGAAACCTCTAGGTAAGAAATTTATTTAAATTTGTCCCAAATAATGGAATAATTTAGAAGAAATTTTAATAAAAGCAATTGTATTCTTTTCCAAATAAAAAAATTTTGGTTGAAAATATTTGATAATTATCCAATGATGAGATTATTAAAAATTTCAAATGGTAAATTTTTTAAGAAATTTTTAGGTGAGAAATTTTTCTAAATTTGTCTCAAATGATGAAAGAATTTAAATGAAATTTCAAGAAAAATAATTGTAATAATATTTTCTTGCCAAGAAAAAAATTAAAAAAGAAAATTTTTAAATAGGCTCAAATGGTAGAGAATTTAGAAATTCAAAAGAGAAAATATTTTTAATTTGGCTTAAATGGTGAAATAATTAGATATATTTTCGACAAGAAAAAAAATCAAAATAAAAATAATTAAAGCTTTTTTTCGATGTCAGAGCCTTTTCAAAAGAACAAATGAGATTTTTGAATATTCTTGAGGTAAGAGAATATTTTTAAGAATTCTACCAGATTGATGAAAGAATCTTAAAAATTATTTTCAATATTCAACATTAAAATTTAAGACCATTAGAATCAAGACTTTAGGATAAATTTAAAATAAAATGGTACCATCATTCGATGGGCATGTGGGGATGTTATAACTTTCTCTATATGTAACCAAAATTTTGAACCCTTTTTGGTTTGTAGACCCGAATTTATTCTTTTAGGGATCCTTAGTCAAGCTTAAGAGTTATTTAAAAGAATAGATTCATTAGATGGCCAATCATACCTAGTAAAAAAGATTGATGATGACTCCATTTGTTAAGTCTAGTAATAAATTTTTAGATCTATATGTTATGACAATTTGGCAACTCCACTAGGGATACTAGAGAGTTAAGCCATAAATTTTTAAATTTATTCTATCCTTTGGTCTAATGGTTTTAAAATGTAATGATTGTGTTATTTGTTTACTAATGTTTTTTTTATATCTTTTATGGGGGTTCACAATTATATGTTCCTTCACATACACTATCACATGTATTTGCATTACATGAGCTCTATACTCGGGCTTCATCCCTCTTAGGAGAAAGTAAAGTACTTACGTTCTCATGAGATGATAATCTCCACAATGGCTAGCGGAATACTCCCATGCAAATTGAATCCTTTCTGTTGGTAGCCTGTGATAGGTGAGGATTAGACTGCTTTACTAGTCTGTGATGAACGATTATGTAAGGAATAATTTGAGAACCTTTAGTGGTCAAAATAACCTAACCTTGCATATAATCAACACCTAAAAAGATCAGCCTTAAGATAAAGCCCTTCCTACCTATTGATAGATGTAACCTGGAATTAGGACACAAGAAGGAATAATTTATGTGATGTATTGATTACCTAACCATTTTATTTGTTTGGTTTTATGCATTTGCATTACCATATCATGCATCATTTTCATTATCATATTTAACATTGTGTATTTGCACCATTTTCATATAGAAAATATTTACCACATATTAGATTTTATCCATAAAAATGTACATTCTATTCATAAAGTATAGCATTTCTGATAATGTAATTATGGTATTCAAGGTTCATGGATAGCTTCACTAAGTAAGAATCTCACACAATCAACTCATCAATACAACATAAGAGCTCACGTCAAACAAATAGAACAAGAAAATTTCAATCATCTTGAGAGGATAAAGAAAGCTAAAAAAAAGCTTGAAGGTGAATTGAATAAAGTCCCGGATGCTTTGAAAAATTGAACAAGGGAAAAAGTATAAAAAAAATATTAGCCAACAAAATCATCTATCACAGGAGGTAACTAACCCTTTGTACCCTGTTGGCTTTGGGCCTCATCAAGCCTAATCTACATAAGACCACTATCATAGCAGTCATATATCTAGTAAGATATACATACCTTAGAATGCCATCAACTTCAAACTCAGGGTAGTACCAGAGTTATGTAAATCCTGTCTTTACTGAAAAGGTAATAGAACCAGTACCAATCCCCAACTTGGATGATCTAGAAGAGAAAAAAAAACTGAGGCCTAAAGAGAATGAGACTTTAGAAGCCTCAAAAGTTGAACAGAAGATAAACTTGTTAAAGGAAAGGTTGCGAGCCATAGAAGGAATCGATTTTTATGATTCTATAGATGCTGCTAGGCTCAGTTTAGTTTTGAATATCATTATTCCTCCAAAGTTCAAGGTTTTAGAGTTTAAAAAGTATGATGGTACAAAGTATCCGAAGACCCATATTACTATGTATTATCAAAAAATGATTGCCCATGCTAATAACAAAAAATTGTTAACATATATTTTTTAAGATAGCCTTATAAGCTCTGCTGCTAGGTGGTATGTTCAGCTGAACAGGACCCGCATCCAATCCTGGAGTGATATAGCCTGTGACTTCATTAGTCAGTATTGACATATCATAAACTTAGCTCCTGACTGTCTGTCTTTGTAGAATATGAAAAAGAAGGTGATTGAATTATTCAATGAATATGCCTAAAGGTAGAGAGACATAGCTATTCAAGTACAATTTTTTTGACTAAAAAAGAAATCATAGTGTTGTTTGTCAGCACCGTAAAATTTCTCTATTATAAAAAAATGATAGGAAATGCAACAAAGAATTTTACTGATATGGTGATCTCAGGCGAAATCATTAAGAATGCCATTAAAAATGACAAGTTAAAAGGAGAAAAAACTAAAAAGATGCCAAAAAAGAAAGAGACCGAAGCTCAAGCTATGAGCTTTAACAGACAGTTTAGGGGATATCAACCTTATCCACCATAAGGTTATTCTCCATATTATCTTGTTATGAACAATACCTCATTTTACCCATATCAGTGAGCCCCATTGCCATATTATCCATTAACATACTAGCTCGTTTTCAGCCTCCAAGCTTCTATATACAGCTTTAACATCCAACCTCTCACAAAACCCCATATTCGTTTGGCTAACCCAACAAGTGGTTTACGAGAGCTACGAACTACTCGAGAAAAACTTGTAATTGATCTAATCCTTATGACTTATATGAAGTTATATTGAGAGCTCTATAACAACCACTTGATTACCCTTAATCGTTTAGAGCTGTTCAAGCCACCTTATCCTAAGTGGTATGATCTTACAACCTACTGTGACTATCACTATAGAATAGCTGGTCATTTCATGAAGAATTGCACTACCTTAACGTATAAGGTGCGATGATTGATCAAGAATGGAATAATAAATTTTGATCGGGGAGGGATAACAACGCTTAATGTTAGTGGCAATCCATAGTCCAATCACAATGTCAATGTTTTGAGTGAAGATCAAGAATGGGTGTGATCTAAAAAGACTTGGAGAGCTACAACGAATCAGAGGGCCAGATGTCATTAAAAATCCTTCATTTGATCACATGGAGGCATAATTTTTGAAAAAAAAAAAGATGTTAAGGATGGTTGGATATTATTTGTCATTATGGGGTTTTTTTCAAAGTAGTGTTAGGAATTTTTTTATGCAATAAGATTTTATTTTTTTATCATTTTAATAAAAGGCAATGATGATGCATTTCATTACATTTTTTCTTTCA